ATCATTATTTGTTCCTATACATCATACAAACACATCAACAGTAAATTATTAACACAAACACTATTGCATACCTTGAGTTTGTGTATCATTCTCTGATCCATTCCTACCTCCATTAGGTGTGTTTCCATTACCAACATGTCCAATACCAAAAGCACAGAATTCGTCACGTTCAATAGAACCATATCTGTTCCCTACACTAAAAGATCCTCCTTCAACTATACTGAACTGGTAAGCATTGGGAGACTTCAGTGGAGCTCTCACAAACTTGAGGCAACCAGTCTGACTAGTGTTCCTTAGATCCACACAATGTTGTAGCTCTATTACCAGTGGTTTTAATAGTGCCTTAGATACTGATATTGCATATACTGCACTCACTAGCACAGTACCTTTGGGTACCTTGAAATTACCACCAGCTAGTGCAGTAACAGCTACTTCAGTGTCCTTGGACACTGCTCCTTGAGGACACTCTAATCTGAATCCATATTTCTCCCACTGGAGTGAGTGAGATCTGTCTCCTTGTAGGATAAAGAGCTTCTGTCCAGCTATAATGACACTAGAGTCTAGTGAATCTGAAACAATAAACACACATCATATCTAATACCAGTATAGTACATACACAATCATTCACATGTGTACATGTACATGTACATGTACATGAATAATTTACCCATTGAAGGGATCAGGTAATTAAATTGTAGTCCAATGGAACTAGTCTCTTTGATAGGTTGCTTGAGGACCCTCTCTTGTCTTTCCTTCACTAGTTTGGCTATGTACAACTCCTTTTCTTTAAGGTCTATAAATTAATAGAATATTAATAATTATTATTCATTGATGATGATACACTAACCAGTAATGATCTGTTTCTCATTCTGTGATTGTTCCTCTATTTGTGATGTCAGTTTGGCTATAACTTTATCTTTCTCAGAAATGTTAGTTTTTAGATTTTGAACATCGTCTACACATTAAATATATCCTCTCATCTAATACATGCTGTGTGTATAGTTAACTAACCAATAATGATCTGTTTCTCCTTGAGATATTGTTCCTCCATATCAGCTACTTTGAGTTTCAGTTGTTCATTATCTTCTACATTAATAGAATATTTTTTCATCTAATATTATGAGCTGATGATACACTAACCAGTAATTATCTGTTTCTTCTCCTCTACTTGTGTCTTCTCTTCCAATGTTTCAGCAACTTTAGCTTTAAGCTTCTCATAATCTTCTATTATCAATAAAATGATATTCGCTGCTAAACAAATTTGCACTGCATGTACAGTAGCCCATAAATACATGTACTATGATTATTGCTAATGATACCATATATGGTAAGCTGAGCTCACTCTACATCAATCTCATTATTTCTAATGCATGGACAATTTGACCTATATCATACAGGATACTATTTCCATACTCAACATTCTCTAATCCACTAGTATCATAATGTAAACATAAACAACAGTACAACACAATAGTACCTAATTCAACAGTTGATTTATCCTTTTCTGCTTGCTCAAGGAGAGTGGTAGCATCATCAAGTTGCTGACTAAGTGTTGCCTTTTCTTGAAGAAGCTGTTGCTGCTCTTTCTCTCGATCTTGCTGTATCTGCTCCTTCTCTTTTATTTCTCTTTCAAGCTGTTCCTGATAGCAGAATTCCTTCTCTTTTTGTAATTGCAGGCGATCTTGAAATATTTGAATCCGTTTCTCAAAACTCTCCCAATCACTCAGTATCCTTCTTCTTAGTTGATCTTGATACTGGTCCAGAGGTATTACACTAGTAGACCAATCCGCATTATCACTAGTATATCCTATACAGTAACAAAATAGTGGAGAATAAGAAATACACAAATTAATTACACTTAGTTACTATGGTAACTTTATTATTGATGGATTCATGCTTAATCATTGTATGTGTGACCTCTGTCAGTTTACACAGTTAACCACATGAACATATTATTGTATATAAACACACTGATAATAATATTTCATTCACTCTAGCTCCTATTAATATCAGTGTTTCTGTATCTGCAGTCATTATATTTCACTATTGTACATAGCAGGAATGAATTGGTAATAATTAGTATCATAGGTATACGTCAAATGCTCCTATTAAATATTCATTGGCCTCGCCTACGCGAGGTATAGGTAGTTGTTGTGGGGCCAGCCTGAAATGCGGATCCACGCGGATCAAATGCGGATCGGGCTGAAATGCGGATCAACGCGGAACGCTCGCGGATCTCTATTGAAACTTGACTGATCTGTCTGAAAGAATGATATCTATGCATCAGGAGGGAATTTTTATTAGCTTTATTTGAGTTTTTGATAAAAACTTCATCATTTTAGCAGTTTCAGAACAGGTAGGCTGTTTATGATCATAGATCTATGTCAATAATATTATTTTCATTTCCGATTACATTTACTATAGTGTCAGTTTTATTGACAGTTAGAGCTGATATAGTAGTTTCAATTAGACTATAAAACTTCATAGTAACGTAGTTGCTAGTAATTTTTATGACAGTTAGATCTATATAAGCTGATTATTGTTTCATTAAGACTATGAAGCAGCATTTTGGTAGGGTGATTACAATTTCTTTTTT